TTCGGAGAAGAAGAATGAGAGTATTACGGAGAGCCTCGTGACTGAGGCTTCTCCAACATGAGATTCTATCAGTGATCACTGGAGCCTGCTCTTCCATGTTTTATTAATGATGAACATCTTTATGTGGAATTGTAGGGGTGCAGGGAGCAAACGCTTCCTAAGAGTATTTAAAGAGTACAAGAGGAGATATCATCCGGGTATTGTGATAATTGTTGAGCCACGGATTAGTGGAAACAAAGCGTTGCAAGTGGTGGGGGGTATGGGGTTTGATAAGTTCCTTATTGTGGATGCAATAGGGTTCTCGGGAGGTATATGGCTGATTTGGGACTCGGCTGTAGCCACTATCTCAGAAATGGACAGGTCGAGCCAGATGCTCCATGTACAAGTGACGACAGGAGAAGGTAGTTGGTACCTTTCAGCGGTGTATGCAAATCCGGCGTTAGTTCAGTGGCATGAGCTTTGGCATTTGGTTAGAGAGCTGGCAGAGTCGATAGTAGATCCTTGGCTCTTGGCAGGAGATTTCAAGTCCATCCTCCAGCCATCGGATAAATCAAAAGGTGCTAATTTCGATGCGAGCCGAGCGAGGGAGTTCCAAGATTGCATGCTGGATGCGGGATTGGTGGATCTTGGATTTTGTGGACCGCCATTCACCTGGTTCAAGAGAGGTGTGAAGGAAAGGTTGGACAGAGGACTAGTCAATTCCGCTTGGAGTGCAAAGTTCCCGGAGGCTTCAGTGAGACACCTGCCGAGGATTAAGAGCGATCATAGACCCATTTTGGTTACTTTGCAGCCGACTTTCCAACCTGGTGGCCCCAAACCCTTCAAGTTTTTAGCAGCTTGGCTAGTGCATGAGGGTTTCAATGATATGGCTAGCTAGGCATGGGCAAAAGGTGTGGATTTTTTATCGTTGGTGGCCGAGTTTGTTAAGGAGGCTAAAAAGTGGAATGCTGAGATTTTCGAAAATATAATAAGGAGGAAGAACTCTTTGCTAACCGGATTGAGCGGTTGGAAGCTAGGTATGGTGGTGATGCAGAGCATGATCTCCTGCGATCGACGAGGCAGGAGCTCGAGGACGTCCTCTTACAGAAAGAGCTTCTGTGGTGCCAGAAGGCTTGGTTGGAGTGGGTAGCCTCAGGAGACAGGAACATGAGGTACTTTCACTCTAGAACGATGAATCAGCGCAGGAAAAATAGAGTAACGGCTTTGAAAAACGGAGCGGGAGATTGGATTGATGATCAAGATCAGCTTCTTGACCTCGCACGTGATTTTTTCTCGGGTTTGTACACTGATGATGGAAACCCCGTCCGCTTCCTGGTGCGCGCTTTTCAAGGGGTGACGCCTGCTCTCTGGAGTCGGCTTGATAAGGAGTTCACGCTGGAGGAGATCCATCAGTCTGTTAAAGCTATGGTACATTGAAGGCCCCAGGAAAGGACGGTCTGAACCCTCTTTTTTATCAGCATTGCTGGGATTTTGTTGGGGCTGCAGTTGTAGATTTACTGAAGTCTTGCTGGCACATGCCGGAGCGCGTTCATGAAGTGAACGACACTATCGTTGCACTCATTCCCAAGGTCCAATTTAGACCGATTAGCCTCTGTAATGTGGCTTACAAAATGATTACGAAGTGCCTGGAAGAGCAGATCAAGCCTTTGATGTCGAGATTGGTGCATGCCACGCAGACGAGCTTTGTCCCAGGCAGACACATTACTGACAATACTTATATTTTGCAGGAAGTTGTCCACTCGATGCAGGCAAAGCAGGGTAAGGTGGGATGGATGGTTTCGAAAATTGATCTGGCCAAAGCTTACGACCGAATTAAGTGGAGCTTTGTACGGGACACGCTTGAAGTCTAGGTGCCCCAGAGAGGTTCACGGACCTGACTATGAGCTGTATTCCATCTGCCAAGATGCAGATTCAGTGGAATGGCAGACTTACAAAAGCTTTCTTACCCTCGCGAGGGCTACGACAGGGATGCCCATTGTCTCCCTATATCTTCATGTTATGTATGGAGAGGCTGGGACACTTGATCGATGTCGCAGTTGGGACAGGAGAGTGGAAGCCCATTTGCTTGTCCAAGAACGGGCCGAAGTTGTCGCATTTGTTCCTTTGCTGACGACCTTATTTTGTTTAGTGTAGCTTCTATGCAGCAGGTTCAAGCGATATTGAGATATTTGAGGAGTTTGGGGCGGCCTCTGGGCAGGCGGTGAGCAAACCAAAATCGAGGGTCTTTTTCTCGAAGAATGTCTCGAGTGCTGAAGGCGCTTCTCTTAGCGCTGCTCTTTATATTCCGGTGACTCATAATCTGGGTCGTTACTTGGGCGTCCCAGTAATTCATGGCAGGGTGTCCAAAGCAACGTATACCAGTCTCATTGACCGCATTGATTCCAGACTTGGAGGATGGAAGGTGAACTCATTATCTTTGGCAGGTTGGATTACATTGGCTCAGTCAGTCCTCTTATTGCTCCCTGCTTACACGATACAGACTGCTCTTCTTCTGACATCGGTCAGGGAGTATATAGATAAGAAGATTAGATATTTCATTTGTGGGAGCTCGGAGCAGGGGAGGAAGGTTCATCTGGTGGATTGGGATTCATTGTGTAAACCTAAGGATGAAGGGGTCTGGGGTTGAGGACTGCGACGAAGATGAACGAGGCGTTTATGCTTAAAATTTCTTGGAGGCTTTTCACCGAGCTCGAGAGCCTTTGGGCACAAGTAATTCGTGGGAAGTATCTAAAGGAGGTCGATGGGTCGTGGCAACCTAGGAGGAATGGGCGGTTGTCAAACCTATGGAGGGGAGTTCTTAGAGTTTTAGATTACTTGCCTGAAGGAACAATGTGGAAGTGAGAAGCGGCATGTAGACTCGGTTCTGGAGAGATAGATGGCTCCAAGATGGGTCGTCTTTGGAGGAATTTGCGATTAATCGCCCAGCTGAAGTGAGGGATCTGCGGGTAGCGGAACTCGTTCTGAATGGGGAATGGAACTTGGCGTTCATTCAAGCCTTCCTTCCGGAGGCTATGGTTCATCAGTTGCAGCTACACCTGGTGCCAGAAGGAATGGAACCGGACGTCCCAGTGTGGAGGTTCTCGGAGTCGGGTAAGTTTACAGTTCGAACAGCTTATGAGTTACTTAGAGATGAGGAGGAAGAGCAGGAGCACCAGCCTGCTTGGAGCGTTGTTTGGAAGCTACAGGTACCCCAGCGCATGCGAACATTTCTATGGTTAGTGCTACACTAGAAGCTTCTCACGAATAGGGAGCGGCATAGAAGGCATTTGGCCAATTCGGACCATTGTCCGGTTTGTGGTGGCGGTCCAGAGACGGAAGCCCATGTTGTTCGGGACTGTCCCTACGCACGAGAGGTTTGGTCGGAGCTGCTGGAGGGTGAGCCGGATCGAGTTTTCTTCCAGGAGGACCTAACTAAATGGGTAATGCACTATATATCAGGTAATAGCTTGATTATTGCCCCTATGATGTTCGCAGTTTTATGTTGGCAATTATCGGAACCTGTGGGTTTTTGAGGAAAAGATAGCGCAGGCAGCACAGCTGGTTCGGGGTGCAAGGATGATTGTGAGCAATGTAAAGAAGTTTTTGAGAAGGGTAGCATGGTGGTCGAAGGTGGAAGGCAGGTAGTTCAGCGGATGGTCAGCTGGCAGCGTCCCCCGTTAGGTTGGATTTGTCTGAATACAGATGGATCGGTCATTTTGGTGCAAGGGAAATTGGCGGCCGGTGGTGTTCTCCAAGATAGCGATGTGCGTTTTATGGTGGCCTACTCGGTTAACCTAGGAGGTGGATCTATTACGAGTGCTGAGCTGGCAGGAATAGTGCATGGGCTTCAAATTGCTTGGGATCGAGGTTATCGGAAGGTAGCGCTGCAGACTGACTCGTCTACAACCATTTCTCTCATTTAGTCCGCCGATTCCTCCCATCCTCGCCATACTTTGGTCTCTTTAGTTCGGCGGTTACTGGAGCGGGACTGGGAAGTCTCGATGAGTCATGTGTTCCGGGAGGCAAATTTTGTGGCAGATCACTTAGCGTCGGTGAGACATTCTTTGTCTGTGGGAGTACACGTTGTTGACTACCCAGGTGTTGCGTTGCGATCTTGGCTGTATTTTGACACTATTGGGGTCCAAACCCCGCGATTCACTATTAATTAAGGGCTAGAGCGCCCCCTGCGCTCTGTTTTTCACCAAAAAAAAAATTCACTCTCTCTAAATTTTTCTTCATCTCTCCAATTTTCTCCCTCTATTTCGTGAACAATGACTAAAATGAAATTTATCTTACATATATCTATTAAAAACTTATTTTCCACAAAATAAAACCTACCTAACTTCCATGATTCACCCATCATCTTCCTTCCTTCTTTCCCCCTCCTCCCTTTCCTCTCTCTTCTTCTCCTTCTTTAGGACTCAGACTAGGAGAGCTTTCTGGAGGCCGTTTTGAAGCCCGATTTAGATCGCACCGGGTCCAACCAGGGGCCCGATAGGGGTTTAACAACCTTGAAAGAGAGTAAATGATCAACGGAGACTCACCGCCCGGGAACGAAACTAGTTTTAGGGTTAATATCTTATTTTGGCCTGAACTATAACCACATAATCAACTTTGGCCCATGATTTTAGAAATTAACATCTTGGTCTCAACTATGCAGCATATAGACTCAATTGGCCCGACACATGGTTTGACCGTCAATTTGGACGGTTAACACCATTGACCGTTAGTCAACACGCCATGTCAACCTAAAATTCATTAAAAATTTCAATTTCAATTTTTTCTAATTTCTGTTATTTATCATTTTTCAAGTTAACCAAAATTGATTTTATGATGGAATCATACCAATCCAACGCCAGAAGCCCAGGCCGAAAAAACTGTCAACTCCATAAGCCCGCAAAGACTGTGAGAAGGCCCAATCATGCAGCCCATGTCGGTTTATTGTGGCTTTAAATATTATCCCCTACTACTCGTCGGGAAACGACTTAGGTAGGGCTTTAAAACGGAAGGTCTCCAATTCAATGGCTGGAGAACCTCTTCTTCTGATCGCCAAATCCATGACGGCTATTAAGCCGACGCCGGGAAAGCGGTACCGCTCCATCTTCGATGTTCCCCCGGACTTCTTTGATTCGTGCTCCTTGCTTTCCCCGTCTGCAGCTTCAGTCTACGAGGCCGTTGACAAGTCTGAGAATCAAACCCTTGATGACCATCCGGAACACAGGGATGGCGACGAAGAGGCAAGCTCCAAAGCCGCAGTGACAGTAACTAGATGGACCTGTAATACTTGCAAGGCTGAATTCGAGTCACTTCATGACCAGCGCTCGCATTTCAAATCAGATATCCATCGGATCAATGTAGGTGACTTTGCGCTTTATATTCTCTTGGTGTCTAATTGAACTCTAACATTGCCATAGCTTGAGTCAAATGCGCAAGTTTCATGCTTGTATGAGAAATTTACATGTTATGTAGGCAATTATACTTTGTCAACATCTTATGTAACTTGTTGGCACTACAGACTAGTAATGTTAGCCAATATGTGAGCTCAATCATGGCTTATCTTCTCACATGAATAACACAACGATGTTTGTTGCATGTTTGCATCTTTCGCAACTTTTAACTAAGGAAGATGGGTTGCATCGGTAAAAAGGTTATCAAGTGTAGTATTTGTGAACTTGCTTGTTTATGCTTGTAATAAGTGGTTTTGATTGTTTGTTTATAACTTTTAGGTGAAGCTAAGTATTGCCGGGAAATGCATTGTTAGTGAAGAAGATTTTGATGAGTTCACGTCGGATGGTTTAAGAGACTGGGATATATCCAGCATCTCAGGATCAGAAGATGAAGATGAGAGAGGATCCTTGCCACACTTTAGTGTGTCAAAGGGATTGATTGGAGCTGTTAAACAGAAGCTATTTTTCCGCCTTCCATCTGGAGAGAGGATTTCACTTTGGAAAAGTTTATTACTAAGTGAGTCTGAAAGTATTTCTTATGAGAATGGTAAAGCAGCTCCCATCTCTCCACAGTGCCTAGCAGAAAGTGAAGTTATAGAGAGATTGAAGTTTTTGACTTGTGAGCATAGAGATAAACAGCATTTTAGGATCATGTTGCTTGCGAGTGGTGGGCATTTTGCTGGCTGTGTGTTTGATGGTAGTTCAGTGGTGGTCCACAAAACTTTCCACAGGTGTGTTTTTTTATTTATGTCTTTAATTTGGGGTGAAACTTCTTTCCTATGCAATCAACTGAGAGCATGGAAGCTTTTATCTTCTCTGTCAACGGAAATACATGCAAAACAATGTTTGTGTCACTTTCTGTTAATGAACTTGAAAGTAAATGGGGTCCCTCCAGTTTCCTCTGGGTGCACCTTTCAGTCCTGCACGGTTAGTGAGCATCAACAAAGTTGAACCCTTCTATTGTGGTGCAGATATGTTGTAAGAGCAAAAGCTGGGAAAAAACAGTCATCGAAAGATGGAACTGGCAGGGCAGCACACTCAGCAGGAGCCTCACTTCGTCGCCATAATGAACTTGCTTTAAAGAAGGTAATGGACCTTAATTTCAGGGTTTTACATAATTTTGTTGAGAAATTAGTTTGAGATGCCTAGAGTTTATTAGGAAAGAGAATGTAGGGAAGAAAAGATTCTGTATAGGAATCTGTTTTAGGATGGTCTCTTGAAAATGTGGAGAACAATAGGAAAACTAGGATTTTGAGGTCTTACTTTCCCATCCAGGAGCTGAACTTAGCTTGACAAGCCATCTGGAAGGGGTTTTTAGAATTGACTCAAAGAGAATCGTCAGAATACTCAGGAATTCACTCTATTCAAATGTTCCATATTCTGTAGAAAACCCTGAAGCCAAATCGTATTCCCCTGTAATAAGTCCCAAGATAATTAATAAAGTATTTCATTTTTCATAATGAAAGTACTAACTTAAGTAATCAAGGATTCCAACTTAAACGACAAAAAAATCTGAGAATATAAAAATTAATTTAGCATCTACCACAAGTGCTCAGTAGATGGATATATATTTGGATGTCTGCTGGTTCTTGCAACTGCTTTTCATGTGAGGACGAGCATGAATTATCTTCCTCTTCGCTCAGAAGTCTTGGTCTACATAATTATGCAATAATTTTGATGCTTGTCATATGATGTTGCAATTATTTAGTTTACAAACTGTTATCTGATATATTGTAGGACATTCAAGAACTACTTACTGCCTGGAAGCCATATTTTGATGCTTGCTCTTGTGTTTTCATTCATGCTCCTTCGAGCAATCATCAATTGTTATTTGATGGGGACAGAGCGTATTTTAGCTGTCAGCATTCTGTTGTTCGAAACATACCAATGAGTGTTAGGAGGCCTACTTTCAAAGAAGCCCAGCGTATATTCAGCCAGTTGACTCAATTTGAATATGAAATGGATGCCAATGAGGCCCCTCCGGAAACTACAGTGGACATTGTTGCGAGTAGCAACACGATAAACAACGACATATCTGGCCACAGTTTAGAGGACTTGGAAGATAGGAATGGTGATATGGACACTGCTGCAGCTTCTTCAAGTGCCATAAATGACAATGATCTGCTTACCTCAAAAGTCAGTGAAAGTGAAGATGTTGACAGAACAACACCTTTGCATGAAGCGGCACAGGCTGGCGATTCTGATAAAGTCTTTGAACTCCTTGAACAAGGTTTGGATCCTTGCATGAAAGATGAAAGGGGGCGAACTCCATACATGCTGGCAAATGAGAAGGAAACAAGAAATAGTTTTAGAAGATTTATGGCCTTGAACCTAGATAAGTGGGATTGGCATGCTGCTAAAGTTCCCAGTCCTTTGACCAAGGAAATGGAAGAATTGCAAGCTTCTAAACAGGTAGTTCATTGTTTCTAGAAGCTATCCTTTTTTGCTGTTGTTATTTTGGCATCTCAGATTGGCTCCAGGATCTGAACTTGCGTTGGATTAGGGTGTATTGGTTATTCCCGATCTTCAGTAGTCAGTACCATGAAGTCAACCATTTGGAGGTTTATTATTGTCATTACATCCTATTCTGTAGTCTGGGGATTGGATAATTGATTATAAATCGAGTCGCTAACTGTTAATATTTCCGGGTAATTTAGGCTGAGAAGGATGCCAAAAAGAAAGCAAGAGCAAAAGAATTGAAGAAATTGCGCAAGGCCAGGGAAAAGAAAGCTCAGGTGTGCACAGGATATTAATCTTTGATATGTATATATTGGTCGAGGGAAAAGGCTGCAGACAAATTATAAATTTATTACCCTTAGTCGGTCATTCATCAAGAGATTGGATGTTGATGCAGGCCGAGGCTTCCTCAACAGCAGCAGCAGCAGCAGTCATGCAGAGTCTACAATCGACTTCATCTGTAAACAAGGGTGGATCAAGATTATCTAAAGAGGTTAGATTGCCGTACCTCCTTATGATATCTCTATTAGGGAACTGCGAACCACTATGGATCATAGCCACTTTGTATTAATCACTAGTATTTCTGTATATACAACCTCCTGTGGTCCTGCCTACGTTTCTTGTATTCATTCAAATTATCCACTAGTATTTCCGTAGCCACTTTGTATTAATTACTAGTATTTCTGTATATACAACCTCCTGTGGTCCTGCCTACGTTTCTTGTATTCATTCATATTATCCAACGGAAGCCTCATATCTTTCACGATTCCGTGGGCACCAGGAGGAACTGCGCAGAGCACAAGCTGCAGAGAGGGAGATGCGAGCAGCAGCGGCAGAGAGAAGAATGGCTGCTGCCGCGGCGACAGCTGACAGCAGCACCTCTCAGCCTAAAGTTGGGTTAGCGGTAGCAACCGATCTGAACTGCTCGTGCTGTAATGCATCATTATCGTGCTTGGTTCCTTTCCACAGATATAATTATAAGTACTGCAGCTCCTCGTGCATGCATGTTCACAGGGTGATTCTCGAGGATGGATGAGTTTTCCGGCTTCTATTTTCCGTTTTGCGTCTAGTAACTGCCATTGTTTGGGCATTTGTTATCAATTTTATTAATGCCTCTGAGGTTAAGGTGGTCCATGTATTACTGTCCTATAAGCTATAAGGCTGAATTCTAGGTGATATGGTGTATTGTCGTCGACTTGTAGGCACCTCCTTGTTTTGGGAAGATTTGGGTAATGAAGTCAAAATAAAAATCCAGCACCGGTTAACAGATAAAAGAGAACTAGTTTTTGATGCCCGCGCTTCCGGCCGGGATGTGGGATATAAAAGGAATCAACATATCTAGTTAATTAATATATATAAAGCTTAAACAAAGTTACTGTTTCCTAAGAATTTTGCTAACTTACACCACCTTCATTTAATTTGGTAACCTAACCGCTAATGGAAACAAACCAATATAATTATATTATTCATAAAAGATGGGTAGAGGGCAACATGCAAGACATCTGGTATGGTCATTCTTACCATTGCAACTAGCACTCACCTACATTAGTGAATTTAATATATATAAAGCTTAAACAAAGTTACTGTTTCCTAAGAATTTTGCTAACTTACACCACCTTCATTTAATTTGGTAACCTAACCGCTAATGAAAACAAACCAATATAATTATATTATTCATAAAAGATGGGTAGAGGGCAACATGCAAGACATCTGGTATGGTCATTCTTACCATTGCAACTAGTACTCACCTACATTAGTGAATTGATGAACTTGCTAATTTTGTAAGGTGTGTTATGGTCCGGTCTTAATCAAATTCAAAAGATCAGCGATTCAATAGTGAAATACATTTTAGAATAAAGGACCGGATCAACAGTGCATCCATATGATTTTGGTTTGGTTTAGTCTGGTCCAAAAGTCAATTCAATTATTTTTCTTCCGTATTTATAAATTTATAAGACTAAGGATCAGAATACATTATATTCGATCTGGTGTGATCTGATCCAAAATTCGGCTTGAGCCGATGCGGTCTGATAGGACCAACCTGTTGCACACTCCTGTTGATTAGGATTGGGTTAATTATTTAAGGAAACCAAGATTATTACGTGGGCATGGGAAGCCCACTGCTACCATCTATTTTATATAGTCTAATTATGATTTTTACTTTTTTTTGTCTAACTATGAATAATGATTGACGGCAAGGAGAAAATTTAACATTGATAATGTAAATAAAAAATTAAATAGCTAGAAAATTCTACATGTCTAACATCATAGGCAGGGTAGATTTTTCCTAAACAAGATTTTTCTCTCTACTCCTTTTGAAGAAACGAGTCACATTTCAATGTTGATGTCGTGTGTTTTCTCCTAACACACTCCTTGATCTTACTACGAAGTTGGGTCTTAGGCATATCCAAAAAAATTTATGCACACACATCACATATTCATCCATTATATTTAATGAAACTGGAGACTCACTCACCATTGCGATAAATCTTCTTTAGTGAGTTGTTGTCCTCCTTTTCAAAAAAAAAAAATCTGAACTCGGAATATGTGCTTGCTGTGGATATTTATATTTCAACTTTAATAAAAGATAGGGCAATCAAATAATTTTTTCAAATAATGTCGGTAATTGTTTAAATTGATATTATATTATTTACATATGTAATCTTATTATAAGTTTATTACAAAATTTTATCGAATCCGAATAAAACAATTATAATACCCGCGACGAAGTGCGGACAACACCTAGTTAATATATATAAAGCTAAAGGGAGTTTACTGTTGCCTAAGACTGATATGTCCAATCTCATTATATTTTGGTGAGTGCGCGTGAGCTACACTCCCTTTCTTAGAGTTGGGTTTCAGTCCATGGGCTTTGGACTTATAATGGATTGGGCTTGAACCTTCTGATCCAAGTGTTTATTTCGTCTCCTCACCATAATTTTCCGCCGAAATCTACCGCTTTAGTTTCCTCAATCTCTCACAAATCACAATGAATGTTGAATGGGATTTCAGTTACTTTTCCTAATCTTCTGTATTTTGAATGGGATCCCAGATTAAAATGCAGAAGCAATCTGAATAGAAATTCACATCAACGAGACATAAACAGATTTAAGGTGAACTATTGGATGGGCTTATGTCTCCCCCTAAAATTTTGCCATCGTCTCCTCTGCCAGCATTTTTATCGAAATCACCCGCTTTCCCTGTGTCTCAAATCTCAATCAACTATCGAATTGGAGAAAGCCCATCTAAAAACAACATTAATTCAGATGAGCTTTTCATCAAACAAAAGGGAGGGAGAGAGTGGGATGAAGAAGATGAAGAGAGAGGTCCACTCAAATCCCTCCAATTCAATTGTAGCTCTGCATGTTACCCTATTACTTTGGATCTGCTCATTGAAAGCCGCAACGATCAACTCAACAAACAAAAGTAAGCATTCTTCAAATTCCCTTTTTCTATTCTGCGTATTTTCCCATTTTGCTTCTATCAACTGTTTGGAGATAGATGACGATGGAGAGGATGAGAGTGAAGTAGATAGAGGAGAAACAGATGAACAGAAAGGGGAATAGACTTCTCTGAATATTGATTGAAGAAGCTGGTGCCTTTGTAGATCCAAGATAAAAAAAAGGGAGAAACCCTGACGAGGAGAACGGGGTGGTCAGACGGAGAGCCGGCTCAGAGAGATATAATGTTCATTCATCAAATTGACGAAGACATGCAGAAGTGAAAATCGACTTGGGGGATTCTATTGGGTTCCTCTATTCGTTAGTTTGCTGCTGGCTGAAAGCAACCCAAGAAGAAGTAAATGGGGAAATTGTAGCTCGGAGCTGAAAATTGAAAAAGGGAGATTGGGATTTCGATTCAAGAGGGAAGAAAAAACAAAGAAATGGTGTAGATATTTGTAAACAGCACAACGTCCGGAGATGAGAAAGATGAGTTTGAGGAATGGGTAAGGTACTGAGGTTTGGTACTTGGTAGAGATATGAGCCTCTGGGGTGAACGAAGTAAATGAGAGAGAGAGAGAGTGGGAGGAAAGAACCCCTGTAAGTTTTTTTTTCCCATTCCCCTGTAAATAGTCAATTATGTTGCATATTGTTGTTTTTATTTTATTTATATTATATTTGTCACAACTCACAACTCACAAAGCTACCACTTTATGGGTATTGGACTTGACTCTTAAGAGTATGCTCTCAAGAAAGAGCTTCCAGTGAAAGTCCAAAAGAACGTTACAAGAACAATTTACACATGTTACATGTACCTCGTTTGTAGATATTTCTGTTTGGTTTATTAGGACTCAGAATTAGTTGCCTGTTAAGTATTATTTTTTTGAACAAAGTAACACCCCTGCGATAATACCAAATTGAGTATTTTATTTTTAATTGTGTTTAGGATTGGGTAAATTTTGATTTGGAGATTTGTATGTAATCAAACCTATTTAATCATAGTAGTCAAAGCATGCTCACCCGCACTGCATTGCCGCTGCCAAGTGCGGCACACCCACCTAGTCAATCTAATAAGAAAAGAAAATTATACAAAGGCAATTGAAAGCAAGACAATAATTAAGGCACGAGAACTGTTATATCAAAGCAATTGGGGATCAATATAATATACACAAACAACCAATCTGCAACAAACTTTTATATTCCTCAAGAAATTCTACAGGAATATAGTGTGCTCATAACATCAGGTTATAATTATCAGGAGAAATGATCATTCAGTAGTAGAATGATCAGTCTCGACACTTAATCTTATACTACATACCATCGGAAAAAATCCCATAATACACTAATTATTAAAAAAAATTCCCAAAATACAGTACTTATAAAATTATTTCCCAAAATATAGCAGTTTGGTTATCACCGCTGCAAACCAAGACAGTGAAAGCAATCACCGTTTTTGACCAAAACGGTGATAGTATCATCGCTTTGGACCAAAACAGTGATGCTATCACTGTCTTGGACAAAAGCGATGATCCTTTCACCGTTTTGGACCAAAACGGTGATTGCATCACTGTCTTGGTTAAAAGCGATGAAAGCATCATCGCTTTCTACCAAAACGGTGAAAGGAGACCTTATCACCGCTGATGTGTAAATCGATGATATCATCGCTGATGTGTAAAGCGGTGATAATTGACACGTTTTACCGGCCTGGTAGGTGGAAATTAGGTCACAGCTACCAAGCAATCACCGCTGAGGACAATGGCGGTGAACACATCACTGTTTTTGTCCAAGGCGGTGATTGCAAAAAAAAATTTCTATAAATACTGACCTCCACTTCCCCTATTGCTACTTTACAGAAAATTAGTACAAAAATTAGTGTTTTATTAGTCGTTTTCTCAGCTGGTTTGGAGTTGGTTTACTGCTCAAGAAACTCGTCGGGATTCGGTATGTTATAATTATGTAATGTTTACATGTTGATGTGTTAGTAATTTATATGTCTGTATTTAGTGAATTGCGGTTATTGGAAAATATGTTATGATATATTTAGATTAATTATGATATGATAGATGTTAGTTAATTAGTTATGAATTTAGATGAATTTGATTAGTTTTCTCATGATAGATCGGGAGTCGGTATGTTATAATTATGTATTGTTTACATGTTGATGTGTTAGTAATTATATGTCTGTATTTAGTGAATTGCGGTTATTGGAAAATATATTATGATATATTTAGATTAATTGTGATATGATAGTAGTGAATTAGTTATGAATTTAGATGAATTTGTTTAGTTTTCTCATGATAGATCAATTACATGCGTTTGTTTATGGGTTTGGATGATATTGTTTTTGTATCCCTAATGTACTAATTATATACTATACTTATTTATTATAAATTGCAGACATGGTTAAATTTAAGAATTTTCGGCTTATTATTCGGTGGAATGGTCGGGTGACAAACTCGAACATTGGCATCGACCATGAAAATGGCGAATCCACTATGCTAAAAATTGAGTCGAGATTCTCGTGGCAAGAACTTCATGACATTTGTGCAGAAATGACTTGTACGGGCGGGCAAATGAGAGTTGGTCAAATTGCCTACCGCTATCCAAACATGAGTGCTGGCGGAGTTGTGTACGAAAAAGTTGTCATAAACGATGATGACTCGGTGAACATGATGATAGAGTTCCTATCTGACAACGGGTTGCGGCTTGCAGAGGTGTATGTCGAGACCGAGCCAGTCGGTGAAACTCATTCTCACCAGTATTCTTGTGATGATGGTTTTGCAGGAGGGTATGGCTGGGGTGGTAGTTCAAGTAACTACGAAGGAGGTAACTACGAAGGAGGTAACTACGAAGGAGGTACTTCTGCAGGAGGGTATGGCTGGGGTGGTACTTCAAGCAACTACGAAGGAGGTAGTTATGAAGGAGGTGGTGGTTGGGAAGAATACGTGCAACCAACTGAGACGGCCGTCAATATCGTTCAGCCCGACGGTGATCAATGGCCTGCTTGGGTCCAGAGTGGGCTGACATTGGGAACAACCTTCGATCTGGGCGTTCTTCGCATGACCAACAAGACGATGTTGGTTATGCTGGAAACGATGACCATCCTGAGTCGAGCTATCCATTCGCCTCTAGTGACGATGAAAGTGAGGAAGATTTGAGATCAGTCAGTGAGGAGGAAGATACGGACGATATCGACGATATCGATGACAGAGAGGTGGCATTCCGTCAGGCACCAACACCTTACTACACAGAGGTTCCTGATCAATTTTTATATGGTCAGAACGATGCCCCTGACTATCGGCCCATGCCTGTGTATAATCCGACTGCTCCTTTGGAAGTGGGTATGGCGTTCACTTCGAAAGCCGATGTGCAAGATGCTTTTAGCGAAGAAGCCATGCGCCGTAACTTCGAATGGAAGGTAAAATATTCTGACACCAAACAATTGCATGTCATTTGTAAGAATGCTGGAGAGGGTTGTGAGTGGCAACTTCGGGCTGCATATATGAAGAGAAACGGCGTCTGGGTCATGCGAACAGTAGAGAACAACCACAGATGCTCTTCAACCATACTTTCACAGGATCACCGGCAACTGAAAGCAAAAAAGGTGGCGAGAACCATTAAGCACCTAATCGAGGCACAACCGGATATCAAGATAAAAGCTACTATGGCCGAGGTGAAGGATCGACATTCCTACACCATAAGGTATAAGAAGGCGTGGCATGGGAAGCAGAAGGCCATGGCTGAGGTCTACGGTGATTGGGATGACTCGTATGCTTTACTCCCTCGACTAATGTCCGCAATGGAGGAGTCCAACCCTGGGACGGTATTCGTGCCGTGGTACAACAACGTGCAAACTGAAGATCAAGTTCGTGTACAGAACGAGTTGATGTTTCATCATCTATTCTGGACATTCAAACCATGCATTGACGGGTTTCCCTTCTGCATGCCAGTGATTCAGGTATATTACGGACTCAAAATATTGTACTAGTTCATTACCTTACTAAGTAAAATTTTTAGTAACTAATTATTCATTTTTAACAGGTTGATGGAACTTTCCTTACTGGGGAGTATAAAGGAACTCTTCTCATTGCAACTGGGGTTGATGGAAATTTAAGTATTTTCCCCTTAGCATTTGCATTAGTTGAAGGGGAGAACAACTTAAGTTGGGCAAGGTTCTTTGACCAGCTACACGCCCACGTCACACAAAGAATGGGTATTACAATTATATCGGATCGACATGCCGGGATTAAACACGCCGTCAATGGTTTTCCCGACGAATGGGGATGGACATGGCGCTGGTGTATTCGTCACTTCCTTGCCAATTTCCAACACAAATTTGGCAAGAAGAAAGACATAAGAGATCAATTGTGGAGTGCAGGTAGTAATGTAGTTCAGTCGATTCTTCTTGCCCATATTGTTGAAATGAAATTTCTTATGGCTTAATTATTTATTCTCTAGTCTTGTAGCGGTTGCACATCAACCAAAGAAGTACAAGCAGAAGATGAAGACGATCCGTCAGATACACCGGGCGGGAGCAATATGGGCAGAAGGTCAAGATCTGCACATGTGGACATTTCATATGGACAACGGGGCTAGATTCGGCATTGCAACTACCAACCATGGCGAGAGCATAAATGGAATCTATAAGGGCATTAGGGCAATGCCTGTATCTGTCCTAGTGGAGATGACATACTGGAAGGTAAACGAGTGGTTTGTGAAGAGACGGGAGCTCACTATAGGGAGGGAGCGTGCTGGTCATTCAATAGCACATCATATATTTGATGGCATGCAGAAGATCGAGGAGAAATCAAGTAAGCACAGGGTTGTTCTGTTCAACCGCAATGAAGGTGTTTTTGCTGTGATGACAGGTATATGGGGTGGAGGAAGACGTGGGCATAATCGTCAATCCGTTACTCTACACGTAGAAACTCGCACCGGAGAGTGTACATGCCAAAAGTATCAAAACAGAAGAGTACCTTGTTCACATACAATGGCAGTAGCTAAGTCGATAACCCTCAGCGCTTACAGTTTGGTTAGTCCTTACTACACGGAACAGGCGATTAGGAACTCCTACTCGTCAAGTTTCAGCCCCCTGCCGGATGAAGCTTATTGGCCGGTAGACACTGGGAAGTTGATTATACCACCGTTGCACTTAAAGCGCACCAAAGGTCGTCCTAGGACCGAAAGGATTCACAATGAAATGGATCAATCACAACGTGCCCGACGAGGTCCAAAGCGTTTCTCAAAGTGCAGACAACCGGGTCATGACAAGAGGCGTTGTCCAGGTCTACCTCTAGAGCAAGATTCGGGGCCAAGTACAAACCAACCTTGAGTACTCTTTTGTTCACTTCCTTTTCATTTTCGTTGTTGTGATGTTTAAGTTGGACTTCTTGTTTTAATCTTGTTGAGTGATTGTAATGAATGGTGTTTGTTATTTACTTTGGTACAACATGGGGGAAAATCAACACAATCTCAAAATAAATTAAGACGAGATAGATAGTTCATGGAAAACAACACAATCCCAAACCAAATTAAGACGAGATAGATAGTTCATGGAAAAACAAAACAAGACCAAACATAATTAAGACGACATAGATAGTTCATGGAAAATCAACACAAGACCAAACACTGATTAAGACGACATAGATAGTTCACTGGTTCTCTTCATTTCCCTCTTCCTCCACTTCCCCTTCTCTTCCTCTTCCTCTTCCTCCACGACCTCCTCGACCCCTTCTTCCGCCTTCTCTACCTCCTCCTTCTTCACGAGCCCGCTGGACAACTCCTCGCGGATTCCTCTTAACCCGACCACCCACCGGAGTGTAGACAGGTGGTGGGGGTCTAACAGGCTGAGATGAACCAGAAGCGTGGTGGAAAGTCGATGATGTGTGTTGTTGAAGCGGGGTCTGATACTGAGCACTTTGTTGCTGATGGTGGAAGTGAGGGGTGGCTTGGGCGGCGAACATGTCATGTTCCTGAGTGGCGACATAGCTTGACGACCCTCCGGTGCCCTCAGTACTAGTTGCCCACTCACAATGTGGCCATGGTTCAGGAAGTTGAGTTTGTTGAGACGGACGAAGCTCTTCAATGTTTTCTCTCACCCTTCTTCTACTCCTCCGTGGGGGCTCTTGTGGGGGCACGATCCTCTCATCAGCACGGAATGACGGTCGGGGCGGTGCATGCATTGGAGGGTATAATACGACATCCCTCCTTTGCTCTCGAGTACAACAAAGCAGGTTGTTGAAAAGCCTACGCAAAAAAGAGGTCTTCCGCTCATCCATGGTGGGTGCACTCTCGACAGTGTGCTTGGCATGTTCCAAACCGTCAACCTAATAAATTGTTGTACAAAATTAACTAACATTAAGACAAAGGGGCATCCTTAAATCTAACAAAGGCATGTAATCATACTTACAAAAATTAACTCATTGTTGTACAAAATTAACTAACATACGCATGTAATCACACTTCCAAAAATTAACTAATTAATTAACATTCTAGCTAATATAGGCATGTAATCACACTTCCAAAAATTAACTAATTAATTAACATTCTAGCTAATATAGGCATGTAATCATACTTCCAAAAATTAACTAATTAATTAACATTCTAGCTAATATAGGCATGTAATCATACTTCCAAAAATTAAGACAAAGAGGCCAAAATGGAATTCACTTACCACTGCGCCCCAAACAGCACCTTGCTTTGACACCCATCTGAGCGTGAAATTTCGATACCACCGCATGTAGCCATCGTGGTACCCCATTGGCCTTGTCTCCGGCATCCCTTGGACCACCCACTGATTTCGATTCTCCCATATGTTGATGTAGAATTCATGCTTCTTTTGCCAATCCTTTTTGGTGTGGCGTAGGTCAATGGCATGGAGCTCCCTGAACCCTTGAGGTGGGGATGCTGGAATTGGTTGCTCCAATCGATATTGCCTCAAAGATCGATCGGGCAGATGCCATTCCACCATGTGGAAGCATATTAAGGGCACCTTGCACAACCATGTCTCTTCATCCTCGGGACGTCTAAGACGATGCAACTCAACCACTTCATTTGGATATGGGTCCCATACCGCCTACAATCATTATAGTTCATGGAATTAGTACAAATTATATCCACTCCACCTAAAAAATTGAAAATGATGAAATTTAAGTATTTTTACCTGGTTCCATCAAGGCTTATCGAATTCAGCACGATAAAACAGCAAAGAGTGTTCGGGCTGGTGGTCGTTTGTATTTGCTCCGATCCACCTAATTAAGCAAAAGTACGTATATAAGCAATTTTTATGGCATAGATGTTTACTTGGCAATAATCTAAAATAGCTAAATAGGATTTGGTTAGAAAAATTCAAAATTTGCTAACTTGGAAGATATCTAAATTCACTAAATACTATAATTGCAGACCTAAAATGTCACTTAATTTCCTTGCTTGAAAGATATCTAAGTTCACTAAAATTCACTAAATTCGCTTACTTGGAATAGATCTAAATTCACTAAAATTCACTAAATTCGCTTACTTGGAATAGATCTAAATTCACTAAAATACTACCATTGCATATCTAAAATAAATTAAACTTAAATTAAACTTACTTGAAACCATATGGGGGATTTGCTACAAATCGTAGCTCATCGTCTGGCAACCAGAATTCCCGAGGGTCTCGAGGTGCTAAAAACGGAAGATGCTCCCATGCCCAGAGTGGGAGTATGAACATCGCACCACCAGCTTGTTTCGCTCCCAACCTCGAGCAAGTACACAACTCTCGGTAGATCCCAGCCAAGACGGCCGACCCCCAACTTTTTCTCCCGATCTCGTCCCAGTCACCGAGGAGCATATTTAACCACATGCCTTGTATCCACCGGTTTGACTTGTCGGGGAACAGAAACCCACCAACCAAACCAATTAGGTAGACACGTGCATACCGCTCCACCTGATCTTCAGGAGTGTCGGGGCCTATGTTAATCTCCATTTGGATGTGGTCAACAAGCCACGGGACCGATACTTGCCCCGCATTCAGTGGTGGATGCCCATGGCCGTCGACGGGCGTGGTGGTCGGCATGTTGAACCCCAAACGCTCTAGAATCAACGGCCCCCAACCATCATCCGGTTTTTTCGAGCTGTCGATGATGGCATCTCCGGTGATCGGGAGCCCGGTGAGGATGGCAACATCTTTGAGGGTGATCGTCATTTCACCCTCGGGAAAGTGGAAGGTATGCAGCTCTGGGCACCATCGCTCTGCCATTGCCGTCAGCAGATTGTTGTCAATATCAAGCCTCGTAAAGTGCCTCAGCATGTGCAATCCCGTCCTCTCTATATAGGGTTGCAGTCGATCATGCCAACGGGGAAATCGACATGTCCCTCGATGAGCGATGGGAATAAGTGATTCCTACAAAACAAAAAACACAATATTATTAGTCAATAGAAAGCAAAATAAAAACTTTAAAACTATTGAAATAAATTTAGTGTCTACCGGATTATTGTTCCAAATTGAACGGGAGCGATGTTGATCTTGCCCGGTTAAATACCTTCGATCCCTTGGGCCAGGATCGATATACAATCGAGGGTCATATATCTCAGCACCCATCTATAAAAAAATATAAAATCAAATCAATTTAAATTTTAGCACCCATGTAAAAAAAAATCACAAAAGAATATAATTAATTTACGTACTCTCAAAGCCTCTTCATCCATTTTTTGCCGAAAAGCTAGCGAGAGTATCGACAAAACAAAACAAAAACTAACTCTAGTAATTCTTTCTGATGTGGAAGATCGGACTTAGCCGCAACCACAGAGCATACTTAGAACGAAACTAGAGGAAGGTAAAGGAGGGAGAAAGAAGTATAAGATTTTGGTGTGGTTTGGAATGAGGGGGGGGGGGGGGGAAGTGGTATTTATAGGGGAAAGGGGGGAAAGAGCCGCTGGAAAAATTACCAGGGACCAATCACCGCTTCTGACGAAGGCAGTGAAATCACTGCGTCCAACAAAGGCGGTGATGGCCTGGATAGCTGACGTGGCGCGGCGTGAGGCGTCGGATCGTGGAGAAAAACCACAATCCGCGCCTCACTGCATCCAAAGGCAGCGGTGAACGCGCGGGTGGCGCGGATCGCTGACGTGGAAAGCGGGGCTATCACCGCTTTGGTCTTCAGCGGTGAAGTCCCCGCCCGCGTCCACGTCAGCGATCCGCGCACTTTCACCGCTTTTGGATCCAACGGTGAAGCTGTTCACCGCGTCTCAAATCTACGGTGAGTTAATCACCGTCATTGACAACAACGATGATAGCATCACTGTTGTTGTCCAAAGCAATGATGCTATCACCGTTTTGGTCCAAAACGGTGATAGCATCATCGCTTTGGACCAAAACAGTGATGCTATCACCGCTTTGGTCAAAAACGGTGATTTCCATCACTGTTTTTGTTTGCAGCGGTGATAACCAAACTGCTGTATTTTGGGAATTATTTTTATAAGTATTGTATTTTGGGAATTTTTTTTAATAATAAGTGTATTATGGGATTTTTTCCACATACCATCTTACAGGCTTAAAGAATAGATACAGCTTAAATTGAAAATTCAAAGAATACAAATGATGAATTCAACGGCATGCAACATTTCTTGGAAACAAAAATACATTTCAAAGTGACTCTAATTTTGTTACTGAAATCCTCTATAAGGTCATTGGGTTTGCCACAGATTCCTAGCCTTGCAACTTTCCATCCCTACTGCAAACAATAATCAGGAAGCATAAATGGAATAAAAGAAAACTCACATTTATACTGATAGTCTATATATATGCATGATGGAAAGATTAGATAATTCATGTTATACTTCAGGAAAAACAAACAAAAAAGTTAAATCAATAGCACATTATGAAGATCAAGTATAACTTGCTAATAAAGGTATCATGTAATATAATCATGAACTGTGCTTTGATTCAACCTTCGACCGTCAACATTTCAGGCTTATCAGTCAGAGCCTAAAAATGAATGGTGAAACATCCTATAGTGGCTGAAATGCCCATCCGATAATGAAAGAGCCAAAGGACAAATGAATCATCAGGCGTAATCCTATCATCCTTCACAAAACATAGTACATGCAACAGCTTAGCAAGCCTACCTTGCTTTTAGTGCAAGATAATCAACAACCAATACCATTTCTCGCCACAATACAACAACATAAACAGAAGACATAACGAACACACAGTAAACTATTTGAAACCATGTGGAAATCGTAAACTATACACAGAGCACAGAAGGAATAGAAAAGCTTTACCATGTCTGTTAGGTACCCAGCTTTATAGAACAGTTGCCATAAGCCCAAAGATAGAGAAGAGGACCGAAGACCGAACATTAGTAAGGGCGCTTAACAATAGAAATAACCAGAGCAGCTATCATTAGTAGATATAATACCTGCAAATTTACCTCTTACACAACACCTTAATCCGACAGGCGATCCCGTGATGAACATATGAAAATCAACCAGAAACAGTCCCAAAATTTATACCAAAATGTGAGGAAGAATAAGATTGAGGTATTATATTAGGAATTCAGGACGAAGAAGGAAATATGCAGTGACCTTATCGCATCACCTTTGATCGAATCTGAGACAGAACTGTCTGAAAACAAAGAAGCAAAATAAAAGTAGAAAGTTATTGTCAGTCACTCAGCGATTCATGTAGATGCTGTAAACCAAGATCATAATAGCATGGATCTTAGAATTAGATGATTTCACGAATCGATAATAGATCGGGAAAACCTACCTCGATCCATGACGAGAGCGGCGGCGGCGCTGGAGTAGTAATCGCCGGAATTGAGTTTCTCCCTCCTGACCCCTTTAGGTTTTTGGTTTAGAGATTTCTGTGATGGCTAAGAAATTCTACGTAATGGGTTGAGAGAGGACCGATCCTAGAGCTTCTTTATATAGACCCACCATCAGGGCATATTAGGAATTTACCTTTCATTAACCTAATCAATAAAGGATTTACCTTATATTAAATCATTAAGTGATAATTACACTTGGGCCACAATTATTCCCTAGTGACATACGGGAATTGGGCTTACATTCTCCCACTTGGTCCATGTGTCATTATATATCACAAGATCTAATAATAAACATAAGTGTGCACATCATAAGATAAATCCATAATATTTGGTTCACCATAAAGTCATAATCAAGTATGAAACTAGATTAGGATCATGGCGGTTCTATATCAATTTATCGACATAGTCCCTTCCATGTACCACTAACCAGTTTCATGCTCAACATGACACATAACAAGGTAGTCATAATGGTCCAACAATAATGTCTTCACTAAAGACAAAATCTTGTTCTGTTCACATAATGCATAATGTATATATACTGGTCATAATAAATAAAACAAGATTCATAACTTTATTCCAGAAACAAAATAAATGAGCTCAAAGTGTCAATCCATGAAACATAAAATAACTTTAGTCATGACGTCCTATAATCCCCATCCTTTCGACATGTTCAGTAAATGTCTTAGGAGGAAATCCTTTTGTTAATGGATCAGCAATCATAAGCTGTGTGCTAATATGCTCGATCGACACCCTTTGTTTCTGAACTACTTCCTTAACGACAAAGTATTTCACCTCCATATGCTTAGCACCCTTCGAATACTTGTCATTCTTAGAGAAGAATACTGTTGCGGAATTATCACAGTAAATTTTCAGCGGCTTGGCGATAGTGTCGACAATTCCAAGTCCAGAAATAAAATTCCGCAGCCATAAACCATGGTTTGTAGCTTCATAACAAGCTATGAATTCAGCTTCCATAGTGGATGTGGCAATAACAGACTGCTTCGCACTCTTCCATGAAATTGCCCCTCCGGCTAGAAGGAACAAATAGCCAAAAGTAGACTTCCTGGTGTCTACACATCCAGCATAATCTGAATCTGAATATCCAATCACCTCAAGGTGATCAGATCTTCTAAAGGTGAGCATGTGGTCTTTTGTTCCTTGCGGATACCTTAGTACCTTCTTTGCAGCTTTCCAATGATCTACTCCTGGATTACTTTGATACCTGCCCAGCATTCCGACAGCAAAACTGATGTCTGGTCTGGTACAAGTTTGTGCATAATTCAAACTTCCAACAATAGATTCATAAGGAATGTGTTCCATTTGCTTGCGTTCCAATTCATTCTTTGGACATTGTTTGAGACTAAATTTATCTCCCTTCTGAATTGGAACGACATTTGCAGAGCATTCAGCCATGTTGTATCTCTCTAGGATCCGTATATTGACTTCTTTAATTTACACACCATATGTTCTTTTCCCTCAACCACAAAACCTTCAGGTTGATCCATATAGACTGCTTCATCTAAATTCCCATTCAGAAAGGCGGTTTTCACATCCATCTGATGGAGCTCTATATTATAATGAGCTACCATTGCCATGACAATCCTTAAGGAGTCTTTCTTAGAGACGGGTGAAAATGTCTCCTTATAGTCAACACCACTTTTCTGAGTGAAACCTTTGGCAACAAGTCTGGCCCTGTGTCTTTCGATATTGCCATTAGAGTCGTGTTTGGTCTTCCAGACCCATCTATTACCAACTCTTTTACAACCTTCAGGCAAATCAACAAGGTCCCAAACTTCATTTTTATACATAGATTTCATCTCTTCTTTCGCGGCAGCTAACCATTTATCAGAATGCTCACTTTCCATGGCTTGTGAAAATGAAACTGGATCATGATAGAGTCCTAAATCAGATTCTAACTCGTGAAGATAAACCTCATAATCATCAGAAATTGCAGGCCTTCGATTTCTTGTAGACCTTCTTAATGCAATTTCATGTGGTTCATCTATGTTAGGTTCATTCTCAATAGCAATATTAGGTGGTGCTTGACAGTTCATTTGTTGTTCCTGCAAATCGTTATCATGCTCAACATGTGCAGGAGCAACAACTTGAGAAGAGGGTAGAGGTAAAGATATTTGCACTCTAACTTCTTGAATTTCCACATTGCGTGGCTCTAAGCTCCCACTAACTTCACCATTTTTAATGAACCTAGCATTTCCAGTTTCAACAATTCTCGTACTATGGTTAGGGCAATAAAATCGATACCCCTTAGATTTTTCAGGATAACCAATGAAAAAACCACTGATTGTTCGTGAGTCCAGTTTCTTTTCATGTGGATTATATATTCTCACTTCCGCTGGGCAACCCCAAACATGCAGGTGCCTTAAACTGGGTTTCCTTCCCGTCCACAGTTCAAAAGGTGTCTTAGGAACTGCTTTACTAGGAACCCTGTTTAACAAATACACAGCGATCCTTAAAGCGTGCATCCACAATGATTTGGGTAAAGATGAGTTTCTTAACATACTCCTAACCATATCCATTAAAGTACGATTCCGCCTTTCTGCAACACTATTTTGTTGCGGTGTTCCTGGCATAGTGTATTGAGCACAAATACCACGTCTTTCTAGGAACTTAGCAAATGGACCAGGGCACTGTCCACTTTCATCATATTTTCCATAATATTCTCCACCTCTATCAGATCTGACAATTTTCACCTTTCTTTCTAATTGCCTCTCAACTTCATTGATAAACACCTCAAGGGTATCTACCGACTGAGATTTTTCATGCAGCAAATAGATATATCCATAACGTGAAAAATCATCGATAAAGGTAATGAAATACTTTTCTCCACCAAGTGATGGAACATCAAAAGGTCCACAAATATCAGTGTGTATAATTTCAAGGAGCTGTGAGCTTCTTGTGGCTGCTTTCTTAAGTGTGTGTTTTGTGTGTTTTCCTTTAATACACTCAACACAAATTCCAAGATCAGTAAAATCCAAATGAGGAAGGATTTCATTCTTTACTAGCCTTTCCATTCTTTCTTTGGATATGTGACCCAAACGTTTATGCCACAAGTAAGCAGAGGATTCATCAAACAAACCACGTTTAATACCAACATTATGATGCAAGGTTAAGAGAGTCTCAGTGAATAGGGTATCAAGCTTTAGTTTGTACAAACCATCAACAAGGGTACCAGAACCCAATAAAACATTCTGTTTGAACAAACTAATAGAACCATTTCCAATGTTCCAAAAATACCCAGCCTTATCTAGTTGAGACACCGAAACCAAATTACGAGAAATAGAAGGAGCATAAAGGGTATTGACAAGGTCCAAATGATGACGAGTATCTAAAACCAAACGATAAGTCCCAATAGCTTCAACCGGAACTTTGGCTCGGTTTCCCATATAGATGAACTTCTCATTTTGCCTTATGGTTTGGGTCGTAAGGAATCCCTGCATCGTTTTGGAAACATGAATGGTACAACCAGTGTCAACCCACCAAGTATTATAAGGAACCTCAGTTAAATTCGATTCGAAACATACTGAAGCACTAGGCTTACCCTTTCTTTCGAACCATGCCTTTCTTTTCAAGCAATCTTTCTGATAATGTCCGGCTTTCTTACAGAAGCGACATATATCCTTACTTGGTTCCTTCTTGTGGATTTTGGCAGATGACTCATTAAGCTTTGATAGTCCTTCCTTGCCCTTCCCATTCTTGTTCCATGGTTTCTTTCCAGCTCCTTTATGACCAACAAGATTGGCAGAATGATTTCCTGGTTTCTTAAGCCTTGCTTCCTCTTGAATGAGCATGCTTTGTAACTCATGCACATTCCATTTATCCTTTAGAGTATTGTAATGCACATGGAATGTGCCATACTCTGGGGTAAGGAATTAAGGATGAACGTTACTAGGAAATTTTCATTCACTTCCATTCCCATGGTCTTTAGTCTTGCTGCAATGTTTGTCATTTCGACGATATGCTCATGCATGGTACGAGAACCATCAAACTTCATGGTGGTTAGCGTACCCATTAGTGTCCCAGCAAGCGACTTATCAGCAGATTCAGATTGAGATCTTTCTTTCACGGAATTCATAAATTCCTTAGCACTTTCAGTATCATTGAAAGTTGACTTAATGTTGTTTGCTACAGTCATTCGCATAAACATTAGGCTTAGTCTGTTAGATCTTTCCCAAGCTTTATGGAAAGACTTTTCTTCAGCACTGCTAGCATCAGTAAGAGCAGCAGGTTTCTCACTTAAGAGTGCCAAATCAAGATCCAGAACACCGAGGTGAAACTGAACCTGTTCAGCCCATTCAGAGAAGTTGAGGCCATTAAACTTAACAACAGACGTGGCTTGCGAATGAAGAGAAACAGGAACAGATGCTGCAAACACATATAACATGTACTCACACATTAATGCTTTGGGTAATAAGCATAAACTATAATACAGATTCGTAAGCATAAACATAAAACATATATTGGTGCTACCTTTGGGCAAAACAACAATATATATGCGATAAATAATCGTAATTGATGCTCAAAATAATCATATAATTGGTGATAGACATACTCAAATTAGATATACTTGCAATCTTTGGATATACTAAATATATCTAACCAAGCACATCAATTTACCACAATAATG